AAGGTGATGAAGGACTGGTAGAAGTGGAATTTTCCCACAAATGATATGAGTTGAGCTGACGTTTCCATTGAAATTTTACCTAGCTTTGCTTTCCCAAAAGTTGTTCTCATCCAGGGTGGACTGCAGTTTCGACCTCGCTGATAGTGTTGATAAGACCAATGCGAGGTCGAAACTGCAGCCCACCCTGGATGAGAACAACTTTTGGGAAAGCAAAGCTAGGTAAAAATTCAATGGAAACATCAGCTCAACTCATATCATTTGTGGGAAAATTCTACTTCTACCAGGCCTTCATCACCTAAAACGAAATTGGGTGAATACATTTAATAAATTAGTAATCTCAGATCGTGTTAGATGATCTAAAGGCTATTAGTGAGTTTTATCACATTTACGGGAACAGTCCTCACAATGACCTTGAATTTCACTTGTCCTTACCACCTAAGAACCTGCAATTTCGGCCTGAAAACCTATTTCTATGGAAAATGATCAACTTTTTCCATTTTAATGTCAAACGAATGTTTGATCAACCGATAATCCCAGTACAAAAATATGAGGTGGGAGAGGTCTTGAACGTTGCATCTATCCTTTGACGCACTGGCACCCGTGGTTGTTTGCTGATGTGGGGTAGCAGCATCACTGTGATACTCAAGACGCTGTATCGAATCCTGCTGAGGGTGCCGACGATACCATTTGAGACGAGGTCGAAAGTGCATTCCAATCTGGAGGAGATGAGCTCTTTGGAAAAACTTTATCAGACTTTGGGTCACTTTAAGCGACTCAAGGTGTCTGGATTTTTATTCCGACTTTATCTGACCCTACTGGACAGACAAAAGTTCAGTATACATTCATCGGAACCGCAGGACATTAAGCCAAAAGCTTTTTAGCATAAATCAACATTCATGACTCCAAGGCAATCTTGCCTCACTTTTTGTCTCTTCTGGTATAACTGAAGTGCTTTCCTTAAAGGATAAATATTTCAGATCAGTTTTGTTGACATTCTGTCCCTGTACCATTCGTTTTGAGTGAAAAGTTGGTGATTAAAAGGATTTGTTGCTTGTACCCTGCAGAGATGGAAACGGGGTTTTACTTTGAGCAGTTGTGACTGATTTGGCTTGCGGCAGACATCGTCAGAGCGTGAAACGACTCATCGGGAAATCCTTGCCAAGCCCCAAGAAAAGAAAGGATAATACAGAAGATGGATTAAGGTAGCAGGACCCTACGCTGAAAAAATTTCTTTCGGTGGGACCAATTTATAAATCCATTCTTACCCACTTTTATTTAAAAATCATAAGTCCACTAGCCCAAGATTATTAAGTGAGTAATCGAAAATCAGCTTTTCTTGAGATATAATGCAAAACTTTTAACTCAACGTCCATCCCCCGCCACGCACAGACCAAAAGCAAATTGTGAGCAGCATGGTAAAGTGGATCTAAACTTGTGAAGAAGCGTTTTTAAAGACATGCAATTCATGCCCAATAATATAGTCCCAATAATAACTCTGTCCGTTATAACGTTGGAAAAAGGTCAGCAGAGAAGATGGGAAGTTTGCTTCTTCACCTCATCACCAGATGAAATTGGCGCTGACGGAAGCCTGTCTGGCTTTGAAGCCCCACCTGCTCACCTACTCAATGATGGAAAACGAGCGGTTGATTAGGTGCCTGGTTCAAATCCCGCTAAAATGGCGGCAGAGGGACATGCGCAAAACCACTTTTAAGGTGTAGAGATTGAATCATGCCGAAACTGAGAGGTATCTGGAGGGAGTAAATGGATTTAAATGAATCTTCATTTTTCACCCGACAACCAGGGAGGCATAGTGCCAAAGCGATTGGATGCCATTTTCAACCTGCAAGCAATGGAAGAGTGCTTCTGTAGTCATATGAGCTGCTCCGAATATTCGGACTTGATGCACCAACCCTGTCCTGCATCCGGTGTCAGTTTCACTGTACAAAAGCATGTTACGTGGATGAAGCGAGGCCGGTCATCGGATAAAGTTGAGAACAAACTTTGCTGTAGGCTACAAGGCATTAAGTTCAAGTGCCTTATCCGAATTTGTCTGCATTCCTCCGCAAGAGCCAGCGGCATTCTCTGAAGCCAATGGACCATTCGTTGAGCTTCAACAATCATCGGAGAATTGCTCTTTTCCAGTGCAGCTACTTGGCCCTCCTTTCTCCCATCATGCCTAGAAACTTGTGCTTCAGTCTCCACCCTTAGAATAGGCCAAGAAAGAAGTGCTTCTTCCAACACCCTCATACAAGATATATTCACCGTCTTAGCTCCTGTCATCAAACTCTCGCGTAGCCCAGTTTCGCCAGTGTATGAGTCACCTAACAACCTCACGAAGGGATCACAACTTCATTTTGTTGTCATGCTGAGAGGGATCCGTTACCGTGGCGCTTGGTGCTTGCATCAACCCTTTCCCATTCGGCAAGACGACTTAAAGGGAACCGGAATTTTCAGGCCTAGGTTTGTAAAAATGTGTGCTGCAGAAGCCGGGAAATTCCAGTCAAGACGTTCGGATTGAGTAGGCCAGTAGATTTTGAATAAGAGCTGAATTCACCATAGGTAGCATAGGGTGACGAAGAAGGGATATATGAATTATCTACCAATGATATGAGTAGATCTTTCGATGTTATTGCATTTGTTTCACTTGGCTGTGACTCTAAAATGTATTATTATTC